CTTCTTCGCCCCACCACCCCTGCCCTCCCCGCACGCCTTCCTCCTGCACGACCTCACCGACCGCGTCGCCGCCCTCGAGCTAACCCTCGCGGCCCGCGCGGCCGCCCCGCAGCCCGCGCGCCGTAAGTACACCTACGCGGCGGCCTCCCCGGGGGGCCGCAAGGTGAAGTGGACGGCGGAGGAGAAGCCGCGCGGCGGGGGCCGGGCGCTCAAGTGGGAGGCGGAGCTCGCCTCCCCCAACGACGACGGATTCGACCGCAAGTGGAAGTGGGAGGCCAAGTCCAAGCCCGGCTCCGGCAAGGCCAAGACCAAGTGGGGCACCGAGATCAAGGGCAAGGGCTCGCTCGAGCCATGGTCGCACGCATACACCTGGGAGGAGGACTTCACCGCCTCCGACGACGACGAGGACGAGGGCGAGTACGGGCAGATTGAGGAGCGCAAGCCGGAGAAGAAGAAGAAGGAGGACAAGCCCAAGAAGATCAAGGAGGATGACAAGAAGAAGAAGAAGCCGGCGAGGACGTGCGTCCAGATCGAGGAGATCCCCGAGGACAACACCGCCGGCTGCGACGCCATCCGCAAGGTACTGGCCACGATTGGTTACCACGGGGAAAGAAAAGATGAGATTTTTGTGGAGTTCTGTGGCCCGATCTGAACGAAATGTGGGATTTCCAGTAGACTTAAGATAGATCCATGGTTACCTCTCGCTGGATTTGAGAGAAAGATTGGAATTTTAGAGGATGCTAGTGTTCACAGTCTAGATCTGTGCTAGTACTGGCTATATGTAGACTCTGCTCTGCTCTGAAATCTGAATGATATCAGCTTGAGAATCCTGCCTCCTAGCAATGCACTGACCGCCTGACATTTGTTTCCCTTCTGTACTGATGATGCAGGCCTTTGCCATGGGGAACGGCAAGGGGAAGGCCAAGGAGCTGTCGCCGCAGGACGCCGCGCTGCTCATCCAGATGAACTACAGGGCGCACCTCGCCCACCGCTCCCAGGTGCTCCGCTGCCTGCGCGACCTCGCCGTCGCCAAGGCCAAGCTCAAGGAGCTCAGGTCCCTCTTCTACAACCTCTCCTACAGGCGCCGCCTCTCGCATGACCACGAGGAGCGCCAGAGGTTCTCCGAGAAGATCATTGTCCTGCTCCTCACTGTCGATGCGCTCGAGGTGAGCTCCGTAATGACCTATTCACGGTTGTCGCTTGCTGATTGCCATTGCTGTGTTGTGGATTTGCAATTCAGTTACTGCATATACTGGTTAACACTATTACTAGTTAGACAAAAAAGTAAATCAAAGCACACAAGGATGATTACCATGCTATTTAGCTGAGCATCTGTCCGTCATATGCTCTTTGAGATGATCTCCATCATCATTTGTTCGTCATTGCCATGGTTGTGCTGTGAATTTGAAATTCAGTTACAGTCTTGTTGGCTTGTTTATCAGGGTTCTGTACCTAAGCCTGATTCTCTAGCAGTGATTTAGCATCTGAAGCTATTTGTTAGCGATGCATTATTATTGAGAAAAAATAAAAATAAATCAAAGCACACAAGAAAGATTAACATGCTACAGTACTGAGCATCTGTTCTTGTATCATTGTTCATGTGTGTATGCTCCCTTGAGTGCCTGAAGAGTCATTACTCATTAGATGTCAGATAAATGCTAGAATCGCTGTAGAGCACACTCCCGTAGACGAATTGATCTGACTTGTGATGTTTGATCTCACTTCTCAGTAGTTTCCTAGGTGGTTCGTTCAGTCTATGTGTGATGTATTCTTACATTTGACACTGTTGCATGCCTCCCAGTAGGACTTAGAGAGGTTTATGATTACATGAATCTTTAGCTGATCAGTGCCTGGATGCGAACTTGTGCACTTGTTATTTTTTCTGTCGAAAGATTTCCCTGGTAATGGTATATCAAGTGCAGGGGCAATCATTTTTTGAAAATCTTTGGGCTTCTAAGCTTCTGTTCCATCTTATGATTGCTGAACTAATAATACATCAAACACATTGAACATTTTTGTTTATTGAATATAGTGAAGGAGAATGCAGTCTTAAATATTAAAGTTAAGTGTTCCCTTTCAGATATGGAATAATTTTCTGTCATCCTGCCTTTGCTCCTGTAGAGATTGTGAACTGAAATGATGCTCACTTTGTATCTCTCACGTACATGACTATTCACCAGCCATTGTCTTCAACTCTTCATAGCCCTCATTGTTTTCCAAACTGACTTGAAATAACCAGCAAAGTTAGTGCTGCTTGGCATAATTGTCCTTTATGGTTGCTTGCTATCCTCGTGTTACCTTTTAGTAACCTTATTACTTGGCCATTAATCTTGCTCTCTCTCTCCACCCAGGGACCTGACTTCATGGTGAGGACGGCAAAGAAATCTATGCTGGAGGAACTCGAGAGCATGCTGGAGATCGTGGACCCGCAGCCTCCAGGGAAGCAGAGGTCGTTCAGCCGCCGCAAGTTTGATCTTCCGGAGGGCGGAGCGATCCCGAATGAGAAAACTGCGGGTGTGAACAACGCGGTCAGGGTCATCAACACTGGCAAGGGCAAGCAGTAGGCACTAGCGCCTAGTTTAGTGGCCGGTACCATTGTCGATTGATGGAGCTTGTAGCGCCGCTTTGTCTGTTAGATAGTCCGGTTCATCTTAGATTTCCAGTGTCTTTGAGATTTGAGAAAGATTGAACTTGTTGTGTACCATCATTCGGGATGTCGTAGCGTGTATGATCCATATCGTTTGTTTGGACTTGTTGTAATGTATGCTGTTGTTGAACTACCAGTAGAAGAGTTTGGTGCTTTAATTATCAGCTTCTCTTCTGGCTGTCGCCCGCATGTTTTGAGCTCCATGGAAGTTCAGTCCTGGTTTTTTTAGGGGTGAAAACACATTTTTTTTGAGGGGTTGAAAACACATTATTTTAACTTGTATACGGATATCCCGAGCGGCCTCCTGCGCGACAAAGTGCCAAAGGCCCACTTGCCAAAGACCCTCATGTTTTGATTTTTCTTATGTTGCATAGGGAAACACATTATTTCTAACTTGTAAGTATTTTCTCCACATTTCTTCTCCTCGCTTGTAACTCGTTTGTTGTATTGGTTCGATCGTTCGCTTCTCACTTGCTGTCTGCAGTCTGGTTATCTTCTATTTTTTCTTTCATTTTTTTATCTTTTTGGTTTTCTTGGGTTTTCTTTGTTTCTTACTATTGTTTACCTGTTTCCTTTTTCTTTTTGCACTGGTTTTCTCCATTTTTCTTGCTTTATTTTTGGTTTCCTTTTGTTCATTCCTCGGTTTCTTTTTTGCACATTTTTTCTCGGGTTTTCTTGTTTGCTTCTTCTCTTCGGTTTTTGGTTTCTTTCTTTAGTTTTCTTTGTTAGTTTCAACGGTTTTCTTCGTTTTTCTTTGTCTCTTTCTCGGTTTTCACTCTTCTACATTTGTTTTCTTTGTTTTTTTTACTTTTTATAGGGTTTCTTCGTTTTTCTATGTATCTTGGTCGATTCTCATCAGTTTTCTTTTTGTAAAACACATGCCAACTTTTCTTAATACACATTCTATATTTTCCATATACATTAGAAACATATTTTATATACATGTTTAACATTTTTGAAAAGCCAATTCCTTATTTATATTTTTTCCTATGCACATTGTACATTTTTTGTATATATATGTAATACATTTTATATACAGATTTTATATTTAAAAATAGAAGATTAACATTTTTTCAATACATAGTCAAAAATTCAATACACGGAGAGTATTTTTTAGTGACAAAAATAATTTTCACACACAATGAATATTTGTTTGCTTGCCAGGAACATTTTTATACACATTTAACATTTTATAAATACATGATACTCAATTTTTTCGTACACATTGATTGTTTTGTACATATTTGTCATATACATGAAAACAATATTTATATACACATTTAGTCTTTTTCAAATGCTTGATTAACATTTTTCAAGTGATTAATTAACATGTTTGTAAATACATGATTAACTGTTTCCATACACATTGTATATTTTTTGCATTCATTTTACATATACATGAGAATTTTTTTCCATTCACATTTTTTTTACAAATGGTTGGTTAGCATGTTTCCAAATGTTTTTGGTACTATATATATTTAAAATATTTTGAATTTTAAAAAAATAAAAATAAAGCAAGTAATAATAATAATAATAATAATAAGCAGGAACATAATAGAGAGAAAAAACGAGGCAGTGGCCTGTGGCCACCCTCACTAGGCCGGGCCCTTTAAGGAGCCTATTGCCGTGAGCGCAACTTAAGTGTCACTATAAGCGAGACATGGCGCACCCTACGTGAAGGGGCTAGCCAACTTTAGCCACGAGCTCTTTGTTTATATTTTCCTCTTCATTGTTTTCTTCGGTTTTTTCACTGAAAAAAAAACTATTGTTCTCTAGAAAATAATTTTTTATAACTAGTAAAAATACAAAATTTTATTTCAAAAAAGTTTTTGGTATATGTTTTATAAAAGTACTGTGTATATTTAAAAACTTCACCATTTATTCAGAAAATGTTTGGTGTGAATTAAAAAATGTTTATTATATATGAAACAAATGTTTAATTGAAATAAATAAATATTCATCATGTATATAAAATGTTCAGTGTGTGTTTAAAAAAATGTTCACTGAATACTAAATAAGTTATTCTATTTGAAAAAAATCACCATATGCTAAAACATGTTTAGTGTGCATTTGAAAATTTTCGCCGTATAGTGCAAACCTTCAAAATTAGAAAAATGTGCAAAAATTGAAAACCGGAAATAACCGTCAACCCAAGATCTGCAAAAGTAAAAAAAATGGAAAAAAAATAAATAAAGTAAAAAACCCGTAACAGAAGCAGCTAGTTAAGCGGGCCGGTCCATCTAGCGGTTTCTTCAGCGAAGCATCCTCGTATAATGTACACGGGCGTCATATAGTATTGGCCGTTTAATAGGTAGTGGGGTTGATCGAACGCCGCTTTGGATCCCTACTAACTTATTTTCTTGTAGAATTATTGGATTATTGCATAACAAGGAGAGAGAGGAATGTATGAATAATGTTTGGATAAATTATCCACATGTTAATTAATCCTAACATTATATTTATGGTTACTTTAGATTTGTGGTTACTTATGAATAACACATAATAACTTACATTTCTTTGCCTCAATATATTTCTGAATTCACTATCATTCAATTGTAAAAATGGTAGGCCCGACAACCCACGCCACCATCGACTAATAAACAAGCAAAACCAAAACAATTGATCCAGTCATTGAATTAATCTACCCAACGTTGATCAAACACCCCATTAGTCTTATCAGGGGAGGATCTAACTAACTTAGGGGCTGTTTGGTTCATGCCCATGTGCACCCTGCCAAATCATAGGTGTCGTGGGCGTGCCAGAAACTTGGCGAGCGTTTCAGCCACCCTCGCCCAGCCAACGAATAGGCGTAAAACTACAGGGGAAAAGTGGAGGTGTGCTGGCGTGCCAATTTTTTGGATCTCATCCAAACAGCACGCAAAGCCTCGGTCAATGCCCATGTTTTGGCAGGGCTGGCGACGGCGCCGAACCAAACAGCCCCTTAAAGTCTGCTCCAATCAAAGTAGGGCTAAACCAACAGTTCATCACATTTATGTAGTTCCGTGATAAAATCTACTACCTCCGTTTCAGTTTAGAAGTCCTACGCGTATACCTAGGTTGTCAATTTTATCACCTTAGTATAAACTATATAACACAAAAATTATACGGTTTGAAAATAGAGCATCTGAAGTTTATATTGGTATATTTTTTGTAATATATGACTTGTATTAAGTTGATCAAATTAACGACCTAGGGGCACGCGCACGTCCAGTAAACTGAGAGAGGTAGTAGTTTATGTAGGAGACATAAATAGGAACGAACCTCCACATGTGCTTGTCAGCTTTGCCATCTCTTAGATTTATTGGATTATTGCATCTCATACGTAGGAGACATAAATAGGAACGAACCTCCACATGTGCTTGTCAGCTTTGCCATCTCTTAGATTTATTGGATTATTGCATCTTAACAAGCAGACTGCATATCAAGAAATAAAACATAAATCAAACTTTATGGCTGCTTTCTAACCCTGTGTTACCTTTCAGTAACCTTAGTTGTCAAAACTAATGTTGCTTGGCACAATTTTCCTTTATGGGCTGCTTTCTAACCCTGTGTTACCTTTAGTAACCTTAGCTCTTGGCCATTAGTCTTATTCTCTCTGCACCCAGGAACCCGACTTCATGGTGAGGACGGCAAAAAAATATATGCTGGAGGAACTGGAGAGCATGCTGGAGATCGTTGACCCGCCGCCACCGGGGAAGCAGAGGTCGCAACTTTTTTTCTAAACGGAGGTAAAAGATTTGCCTCATCGATTAATTTGCAAGTTTGATCCCCCGAAGGACGGAGCGATCCAGAATGAGAAAGCTGCAGGTGTGAACAATGTCAGAGTCATCAACGGCAAGGGCAACCAGTAGAGACCATGCACCTAGTTTAGTGTCCGGTACCATGGCCGATCGACGGATCGATGGACCTTCTAGTGTCGCTTTGTCTCTGAGCAGTCCGGTTCATCTTAGATTTCCAGTACCTTTGAGATTTGGGAAGGATTGAACTTGTTGTGCACCGTTATTCGGGATGTCATAGCATGTATAATTCGTATCTTTTGCTTTGGACTTGTTGTAATGTATGATGTTGTTGAACTAGTTGTTCCATGAAAGTTCAGTCCAGTGATGGGTGTGCCTAGCTAGCTCGCTCTCTCTCTCTCTCTCTCTCACACACACACACACACACTCGCTGTCGACAGAGATAGAAGAAGGAGCACACTAGACACAAGATTTTCCGACGACGAACGCCTCGCCGCACAAACGGGCGCCTCACCGCATGAACGACATTTTTTTTGTTCGAGCTCAAACTCGGTTTGGCACCACACCAGCACCCACGAGCAGTATCAGATAATCACTTAGGACTAGCTACACACGCACATGATTCGAGCTCAAACTCGGTTTGGCACCACACCAGCACCCACGAGCAGTATCAGATAATCACTTAGGACTAGCTACACACGCACATGATTCGAGCTCAAACTCGGTTTGGCACCACACCAGCACCCACGAGCAGTATCAGATAATCACTTAGGACTAGCTACACACGCACATGATTCGAGCTCAAACTCGGTTTGGCACCGCACCAGCACCCACGAGCAGTATCAGATAATCACTTAGGACTAGCTACACACGCACATGATTCGAGCTCAAACTCGGTTTGGCACCACACCAGCACCCACGAGCAGTATCAGATAATCACTTAGGACTAGCTACACACGCACATGATTCGGCACTTGCACGACCTCTACGCAACGGCCATACGACTCGGCCAAAACGGCACACACGTAGCTACCTTATCCATGCAACCATGGGCATGCACCATTACTCTAACTAACGTGCTAATCAACTGACTCAAAACAAATTCAAGTCATGATTGTCCTAACAACTTTGCCATCTTTTAGTTTTTTTGGATTATTGCATCTCAACAAGGAGACTTCAT